CATTCGTGTTTTGAAACAAAACATATCTTAAAGTTTTAAAAGGACAGAGGATAGGGCTGATGTGAAAAGCACAAGACGGGGGGATTTGATCTTTGCAGTAAGAACAAAGGGCAGGTTTAGTTGTGGTGATGAACTTTTTATGGTCAGGTAAGCATTTAGGCTCCATGTTCATTCTCACCGGGAATAAGCAGTGCCTGCCTGTGAAGAGCATTCAGATCACTGGCTTTTCAGCCTATTGCAGTCATGCCTCACTCTGCCCCCTTCTCTTCCTTCCAGGGGAATAGTTTATAAATAATAGCTAATTTAGTAGTCAGAGATAAGGGATGCTTATCACTGGGCCTGGATCTAATTATGTATTATGATGAGCAAGTACTGCAGTTTTAGAGCATAGGAACCACCAAATCAGCCTTTTTTGGTGTTTCTTTGCACAGAGGACACATATGTGATACTGGACAAAGCCAACAGCTTTATCTTAACCCTGTGTCCCAGGGGATCCTGTGTACCTTAAACAGTAGGAGCTGCCTGGGAGAAGATAAGTTTCTGATAGTCCCTCTAAAGCAAGCTTGTCTAGTCTGCGGCCCACAGTCCATATGTGGCCCAGGACAGCTTTGAATGCAGCCAAACACAAATTTGTAAACTTTCTTAAAACATGAGATTTTTTTTTAAGCTCATCAGCTATCGTTTAATTTTATGTGTCTACGTGTGGCCCGAGACCATTTTTCTTCTTCCAGTGTAGCCTAGGGAAGCCAAATGATTGGACACCTCTGCAAGATAAAATAGCAGGGGAAAGGGAAGCAACATTTAAGTACTCACTGTGCTCCTGCTGCTACATTCCTTCTCATTTAATGCTCACAGTAAGCCTAAGAAAGGGATTATCTCTGATTTTCAAATGAAGAAACAGATTTGGAGACGTCTTGGTCCCAGGCAAGCGTGATATTTTAAGCCTACATATAAAATTATGTATCTTTTCATCCATGGTTCCTGGCTCATAATTCCTTTGGTGCCATTTTTTGTTACAATGTTAGGGCACTCTAGGGCTCAGAAAACAGAACGTCTCTCTCTGACCTTCTGCCCTCCTTCTTACCTGCCCAAGCCAAGGCTCTAATCTTCCACCACTTTTCTGATTATGGGTTATAAGACTCTCATTTTAGAAGGGGTCTTGCCTGCTGCCCTGCAGGAAGAAGTGCTGCATAGACAGGCCAAGAATCTGCAGACAGGCCTTGCCGGGTTTCCCACTCAGTCTCCTTTGTATTAGATCATACCCCATTAGTCATGACTGTCTAATGAAGTCTTTATAAGAGGCTCAAGAGAACAGGCTTCAGCGAGCTTCTGGAGAGCTGAACATTCTGGAGGGCTTACAGGAAGGTAAATAACACACGCATGTGCCAGGAAGGTTGTGTACCCTAACTCCATGGGAACAGAGGCTCCTATGCTTGGGACCCTTCCAGACCTAGCTCTGTGTATCCCTTCATTTAGTTATTTGTATCCTTTAAAATACGTTTTTTTTTTTTTCCTGGAAACAGGGTCTCGCTTTGTCACCCAGTGTCTTGCTCTGTCCTGTCACTGTACAGTGGTGTGATCATGGCTAACTGAAGCCTTGACCTTTCCGGGCTCAAGTGAATCTCACACCTCTCAGCCTCCCCAGTAGCTGGGAATACAGGCATGTGCCACCAGGCCTGGCTAATTGTTGTATTTTCTGTAGAGATAGGGTTTCACCATGTTGTCCAGGCTGGTCTTGAACTCCTGGGCTCAAGTGATCCTCCAACTTCGGCCTCTCAGAGTGCTGGGATTACAGGTGTGAGCCACTGCACCGGGCCTAGGATATTCTTTGTAATAAACCGGTAAATGCATTTCTGAGTTCTGTAAGCCACTGTAGCAAATTAATTGAACCTCAACTTCAAGCCAGTGGGTTGAGATCCAGAAGCCTGGACTGGCAGCTGGTTGGGTGGGGGACAGTCTTGTGGGACTGAGCCCTCAACCTGTGGGATCTGATGCTCTCTCCTGGTAGATAGTGTCAGAATTGAATTGGAGGATGACCAGCCGGTGTCCTGCAGAACTGATTGTCTGCTTGGTGTGTGAACAGAAAACCCCAACATTTGGTCACAGAAGTCTTCTGTGTTGATTGTTGTATGAGTGCAGAGGAAAAACAGTTTGTCTTTCACATCGGTCTCCAAGTTGAGTGGCAACTTCAAGCCAGTTGTGAGCCTACAATTCCCATGCTTTCTGCTACCCTCCCTGTTTCCTAGAACTGAACCTAGTATATTAGTTTCTATGCTTGCAGTAACAAATTATACCAACTTAGCAGCTTAAAAGAACACACATTTATTATCTTACAGCTCTGGAAGTCAGAAGTCCCAAAATGGTTTTACTTGGCAAAAACCAAGTTGTCAGGGCCGTACTCCTTCAAGAGGCTGTAGGAGAGAATCCTTTTCCAGCTTCTAGAGTGGCATTCCTTGCATTCCTTGGCTGGTGTTCCCCACCTCTTAGATGCCAGCAGCTTAGCATCTTCAAAATCTCTCCTTGTTCCGGCTGCCTTCTTCCCTGTGTAGTCAAACTTGCCTTTGCCTCCCTCTTAGAAGAACACTTAAAGGACATTTAGGGCCTATGCCTATGATCTCAGCAGTTTGGGAGGCCAAGGTGGGAAAATTGCTTGAGGCTAGGAGTTTGAGACTAGCCTGGGCAATATCAAAATGACAAACGGATCACATGAAAGATGCTCCTTGACTTACGATGGGGCTACATCCTGAGAAAACCAGCATAAGTTGAAAATATTCAAAGCTGAAATTGCATTTAATACACCTAACCTACTGAACATCATAGCTTAGTCTAGTGACCTTAAATATGCTCCAAACACTTACATTAGCCTACAGTTGAGCAAAATCATCTGACACAAAGCCTCTTTTATAATGAAGTGTTGAATATTTCATTTACTGAATACTGAAAAGTGAAAAACAGAATGATTGTATTGACACTCAAAGTATGATTCCTATGGAATGAGTATGGCTTTTTTTTTCTTTTTTTGAGATGAGTCTTGCTCTGTTGCCCAGGCTGGAGTGCAGTGGTTTGATCTCGGCTCATTGCACCCTCCACTTGCTAGGTTCAAGTGATTCTCCTCCCTCAGCCCCCCAAGTAGCTGGGATTACAGGTGTGCACCACATCACCTGGCTAATTTTTGTATCTTTAGTAGAGATGGGGTTTTACCATGTTGGCGAGGCTAGTCTCGAACTCCTGATCTCAGGTGAGCCACCCACCTTGGCCTCCCAAAGTGCTGGGATTAATAGGCGTGAGCCAGAACACCCAGCCTGAGTATTGATGTTGCGCCATTGTAATGTTGAAAAATTATTAAGTCCAACTGTCATAAGTTGGGGACCATCTGTAGTTTGCAAAGTATACCCTGTTAAGACTTTTAAAGGTGAGAAAGCCAGCTTCGTCTCCAGGTCTTCCCTGCTCTGCTTCACTGATGCCTGTTGTTCTCTGTGCAGTGAGAAAGGAAACCTCAGCAAGTTCTCTGGCCTCTCTAGATGTGTTTCTTATGAAGCAAAAACCAGAAACCTGTCTTATTACAAATTCTCAATTGTATCATTTTTTCAAGTCAGGACCAGAAATCCTTACCATTCATCATAATCATCATTTCATAAAGGAACATTTTATTGTAAAAAATACAAGTGAAAACTTAAGAAAAGCAGTCTTCATTTTCCTTATTTTCCTCTCCATTGGTGAAACTTTCTCATGAACTAACACTGGAGTGTGTGCTGATCTGGTCCAGCCTCCTCATCAAATGCCCCAAGGGCTCCAGGTGGCCATTTGGCCAAGGCTGACCATCTTCAATGGCTGGCCGTGGCATTCTGTCCTTAAATGCTTCATCTTCAGAGCTTATGCAATAAACTGGTCCGATTGAAAATGCATGGATTTTAGAGTCAGAACTGGGTTCAAATACTGTCTCTTATCCTCACAGGCTATTGAGCATTTGAAAAAGGGCTAGTACAACTGAAGAACTGCTTCTTTGTTTTATTTAAGTTTTATTAATTTAAATTTAGATGACCACATGTGACCAATTGGACAGCGCAGGTCTAGACATTATATTTCCTCTTAAGGTAGTTTATGGCCACATCCATGTTTTGGAGTAACTGTCTTATTCTGCCAACTTGGCAGTGTTCTCTAAACCAACTGAAATCTTGTAAGTCTTCCTCATTTATACCTATGCAGTCAGATCTTTGTTTCTAAATGTAGAAAGTTACATTCATCTCTAAATTTCATCTTACATTTAGTCTGTTGCTTCAGTTTTTAAGCGATAGAAACAATCTTCAATAGAAACTGAAATTTTTTTTTTTTTCCTGAGGCAGAGTTTTGCTCTTGTTGCCCAGGCTGAGTGCAATAGCATGATCTCAGCTCACTGCAACCTCCACTTCCGGGTTCAAGTGATTGTCCTGCCTTAGCCTCCCAAGTAGATGGGATTACAGGCATGTGCCATCATGCCCAGCTAATTTTGTATTTTTAGTAGAGATGGGGTTTCTCCATGTTGGTCAGGCTGGTCTTGAACTCCCGACCTCAGGTGATTCACCCACCTCGGCCTCCTACAGTGCTGGGATTATAGGTGTGAGCCACCGTGCCCGGACTAGAAACTTAATTTTTATTTGTTTGTTGGAGACAGGGTCTTGCTCTATCACCCATGCTGGAGTACAGCAGTGTGATCATAACTCACTGCAACCTTGATGTCCTGGGCTCAAGTGATCCTCCCACCTTAGCCTCCCAAGTAGCTAGGACTACAGATGCTTGTCATCATGCCTGGCTAATGGTTGTATTTTTTTGTAGAGACGGGGTTTTGCCATGTTACCCAGCTGGTCTTCAACTTTTGGGCTCAAGCATTCCTTTCACCTTGGCCTCCCAAAGTGCTGGAATTACAGGAGTGAGCCACTGTGTGCAGCTGAGATTTAAAAAAAAAAAATCTTTACTGTTAGCCGAAGTATCTGTAGCAAGTAATAATAGTATATCCTGAGAGCTAAAAGATTTTTCTTTAATTTCTCATCACTGTGGTATGACTATACATCTATCACTACAATCAGACTTTTTCTCAACTTCACATACTATGAAAGCATCTGCTGGCAGGATGAGGAAAGGGCACAATACTTGTGGCTCCTCTCTCATCTAGTAGGACTAGGCTACTGACATCAGATACAGACTCAAACAGAAATGAGTGGTAGGAGTCGGGGTTTAGGTATGAGGCAGATGCCATGTAAGTTTATTATATTTAGGAAAAAAAATATAACTGGAAATAAAGGTAAGTCATTTGAATGAGAGTTCTGAAAGCCCTATAATCTTTAATGGCAGCATTTGGATCCACTGCCCAAGCCACTTTTAACCCAACCAAGATGCTGGAAAGCAGAACACACGGTTGTGCCCATCAAACCCAGGAGGGCGATGGACCCCAGGGCTCCTCGACTACGCTTGCTGGGGTCTGAAAAAGAAGAAAGAACAGAAGAAGTTACCAGGAATGCTCCAGAATTAGGATGCTTTCAACATCCACAAGCCAATCTATCATGGCATCTGAGGTTGTATGTTAGACAAACTAGTCTTAGGAGGTTAACTAATTCTTTAGCCTGAAGCTTTCAGCAAGTCAGATACTACATGCCAAGTAATGTGCCATAGCAGCATTACCTGGACCTTAGAAAATTATGGAACAATAATTACAGCAACTTTGCTCTAGGACCTTTGAAAGTAGTTCCCTCTTTTTCAAAGAAGTACAGCCCAAAATGGTTTTCCCTCCTCCTTACTCAGACATAGCAGGTATAGTTAATGGTTAGGCTCTGGAGTCAGACTGCATGGGCTTAATTCCTAGTTTATGCTCTGTGATCTAGGGCTTTTATCGTTCTGAGCCCCAGTTTCTTAATTTGTAAAGTGGGATAATATCTGTATTATGGAATTGTTGTAAGGTTAAAAAACATATGCAAAGTTCTTAGGGTAGTGGTTGGCACATAGAGAATGCTCAATAAAAATAAGTTTTGTTACAATTGAAAGATTAGTCAAAGGAAAACAGACCTTTCACTTAAATATCAAGAGACTTCCCCTTTTCTTAAATTCCCAAGAAGAAAAATACAGCAGCGTAAGATTTTATTTAGTTTTTTGAGATAGGATCTTGCTCTGTCTCCCAGACTGGAGCGCAGTGGTGCAGTCATGGCCCGCAGCAGCCTGAAATTGCTGGGCTGAGACAATCCTCCAGCCTCAGGCTCCCAAGTGGGTGCGGCTACAGGTGTGACCACACATCCAGCTAATTTTTGTGATTTTTGTAGAGACAGGTTTTCACCAGGTTGCCCAGACTCATCTCCAACTCTTGAGCTCCTGCCTTGGCCTCCCAAAGTGCTGGCATTACAGGTGAGCCATTGTGCCTGGCCAGCACAGGATTTAAAATTTAAAATTTGTTTTCTTGGCAAATGTCAATATATACTTACCTCCCGTGTAATAGCCATAAGCATAAAGAACTCGTCCAACAATCCAGGCCAAGCCCAAGCCAGACGCTATACGCTAAGAAAAAAGGGCTACATTAGTATTTGCATGAAAGAAACAAGCACAACTTTATTAACAACTAGGGTTGATTATACACTATGTTAGCAAAAAGTCAATAATTTCATGGATTTGGCCAACTACTCCCCACCCAAATTAGGTAGAATTAAGTTACTTGTTTCAGTCAGGAAAATAAAAAATCTGTGATTCTTCTATGAACTGCTTGGCTTGTGAACCTGGGAGATGAGTACTGGCCTTCTCCTAGACAGGTGTGATGGAAGGAATCCCTCTGCTTGCCCTGGGCATCTTGGGGAACTTGTGCTAGAGCAAGAGAAGGACATGTGGGCCGGGGGGGTCAAGGTAAGCCGGAAGAGAGAACTGCCCCAAACTCAGGACTAGGGGAAATGCCCTGTTTTCTCAAATGGGCCTCTGAGCATGAGATTGACTGAAAACTCAGTTGCTGTTCTGTGTGAAGTCAGTCACTGGCAGGGCTGGGAGCAGGCGTGTCTGCAGCCTACACTAGGGGTACATGGTCTTTGAGGGAAAAGTCTCCCTGTGCCCACCCAATGCCCTTGAAAAGAGAGAGTAAAAACAGATTAAAAAATCCATCCCTTTGGCCAGCATGCTGGGGTGAACAAAGAGAGTGTGTGAGAAGGCTGCCTTCCCCAGTGTTTTCCAGTGCTACCGGTAGGGACAAAGTTACTTCATCAGGGTTTTTGTTTGAGTTGATTTTGGGTAACACTAAATATCAACAGGAGGTTTGAAAATAGGTGCCAGTCCTTGAGTCACGATTTAGCAGCTCCAGTCTCTGCCAGGCCCTTTACTATCATGTTGCCTAACGACTGGTAACCTGGGAACAATTGTTAAGTGCTTGCCCCCAGACTGGCTCTTATTTTTCAGAACTACCCATAAGGAATGGGATCCAGGGATGTGGGACAGGAATGGGGATGGAGTGGGGACACAAGTGAGACCTGGGCTATTCAGATCAGCTAGTCTGGTCACTTGCTAGGAATAGGGATTTTTATAGGCACCAGAAAGATAACCTTTTCTAAGAGATACAAGAGCAGTAGATGTTTCTTTGAAAAAAAAATGCAGGCCTTCAAGGTCATGAGCAGTAGGTGTGGCATTCTGGCAGCTTTTTAAGAAAAGTACAAGGCATTCAGGTATGGACCAGATGGTTAGGAAATCCTTAGAACCAGAAGTCTGAAGGGTCACTGCTCTGGTCAGAACTGTTTCAGGAGATAAGCTGGCCTCAGAGAAGGGAACACTTCTGTCCAAGACAAGACCCAAATGACAATTAATTAGAGGCAGGTAAACTTGCTTTAGTTAGATATGTTTAAGTGCAGACGAAATCTGCAGCCCACAGGGCCATCTATACTGCAGAGGCCTGCAAGGCCCCGGTGAGCTGCCTCATCACCCCACTGCCCTCTGTAGCTGCCCCTCTCCTGGCTCCACTGGCTTCTCACTGCTCACCAAACAAACCAGACAGGAGCTTGCCTCAGGCCTTGCTCTTCTGGCCAGAGGTCAGGAGACATGTGTAGTACCTGCTCCCTCACCTCCTTTTTTTTTTTTTTTTTTTTTTTTTTTGAGACAGAGTTTCACTCTGTTGCCAGGCGCTAGGCTGGAGTGCAGTGGCACAATCTCGGCTCACTGCAACCTCCACCTCCCGGGTTCAAGCAAGTCTCCTGCCTCAGCCTCCCGAGTAGCTGGGACTACAGGCGCACACCACCGCGCCCAGCTAGTTTTTGTATTTTTAGTAGAGACGGGGTTTCACCATGTTGGCCAGGATGGTCTTGATCTCTTGACCTCATGATCCGCCCACCTCGGCCTCCCAAAGTGCTGGGATTACAGGCTTGAGCCACCGCACCTGGCCCCTCACCTCCTTCTATACTTGCTTAACTATCATCTCAGCAAAGCCCTCCTCCCTGACCACACTATTGAAAATTATCCCACTCCACACCCCCTTTCCATCTTCCCTGCTTTGTTTTCTTCTGTGCACTCACCACCTCCTAACACATGATGAATTTACTTAGGTTGCTTTTTGTCTGTGACCACCCCACGCCCTGCAACAAAAAGACAAGCTCTGTGAAACCAGGGGTCTTTGTCTGCTTTGCTCACTGCTGTGACCCCAGGTGGTGAGTAAACGTTTGTTGTGTGAATGAATGAATAGGACAAATGAACTCCTAAAGACATGAAACTAGAACCAGACAGACCTGGGTTCAAATTCTGTTTCTGCTACTCTGTAGCTATTTGACCTTGTGAAGTTTAAATAGTATCTGAGAGGCTTTTCCTTATGTGTAAAAAATGAGGAAAACCCCACCTACTTTAAAGAACTCTGTAAGAAATAACTGAATAAAATCATTTAAAATATATAGTGCCTAGACACTGAAGATATTCATTAAAAGTTTATTTCCTTCTTCTGTCCCTGATAATAGCTCAGTAAACTACATCCAAATAGATGAACACTTCCTGGAAAACTTACCGGGTGGTAAACACCTCCAACAGCTAGAAAAAATAAGAAGGGAGGATACACTTCCAACCTGGAATTGACAGAGAGAAACTTTTAAAAAGTGCTCCTTTTAAGTATGTCTCTGCAGAATTAGAAATCTTTTTTTTTTTTTTTTTTTTTTCTTTTTTTTTGAAACACAGTCTCGCTCTGTTGCCCAGGCTGGAGTGCAGTGGCATGATCTTGGCTCACTGTAACTTCTGCCTCCTGGGTTCAAGCAGTTCTCCTGCCTCAACCTCCCAGGTAGCTGGGACTACAGGCACACACTACTACACCTGGCTAATTTCTCTATTTTTATTAGAGATGGGGTTTCACCACATTGTCCAGACTGGTCTCAAACTACTGACCTCGTGATCCATCCGCCTCAGCCTCCCAAAGTGCTGGGATTACAGGTGTTAGCCACTGCACCCGGCCACACTTTTTTTTTTTTTTTTGGAGAGGGCATCTCACTCTCACCCAGGCTGAAGTACAATGGTGCAATCTCGGCTCACTGCAACCTCCACCTCCCACGTTCAAGTGATTCTCGTGCCCCAGCTTCCTGAGTAGCTGGGACTACAGGTGCATGCCACCCTGCCTGGCTGATTTTTGTAGAGATGGGGTTTCACCATATTGGCCAGGCCGGTCTCAAACTCCTGACCTCAAGTGACCCACCCACTCTGGCCTCCCAAAATGCTGGGATTACAGGTGTGAGCCCATTGCACCTGATCAGCACCATGAATCTTTAAATCTTCCCTGCCAAGTTAGAAACTTGAGAGTAAAAATAAACATTGACTGCAGGGAGAAGAGCTGGTCACTAACATCCACCCTCCTTTGTTCTGCATGGGATTATGGTCACTTGGAACATGCTGAGTAAAAGGACCTCACATCTAACAAATGGAAGTGGAAGGTCCTGGCGAGTCAAAGTGGGTTTCCTTACAGCACTCAAAATCTCTCCACTCCCTGGGCCTGCGAGAGGCTTAAACATCAGTTTAGATGGGTCATGCTGCAAAACTGTAGCAGGTAATACAACCACGAAGACGTTTTTTGAAAAGAATATTAAGAAATCGCACCATTCCAAGCACTCTTAAGTTTGCTTAATAGTCAATCTGTTCACATGCATAATTTTTTTTTTTTTTTCTGAGACGGAGTCCAACTCTGTCGCCAGGCTGGAGTGTAATGGTGCAATCTGGGCTCACTGCAATCTCTGCCTCCCAGTTTCAAGCGATTCTCCTGCCTCAGCCTCCCAAGTAGCTGGGACTACAGGTGTGCACCATCACACCCAGCTAATTTTTGTATTTTTAGTAGAGATGGGGTTTCACCATATTGGCCAGGATGGTCTCAATCTCTTGACCTCATGATCTGCTCGTCTCAGCCTCCCAAAGTGCTGGGATTATAGGCATGAGCCACCACACCCGGCACCCATATATAATCTTTAAATACTTTTGATGAGATGCCTATGTCTGTCACCATCACTATGACTCAGCAAATACAGAGCACTAAGGGATGAGGTGTGAGACAGAAAACACCCACTCTCAGATGTCTTTGGTGCCCGGCAGGGCCAACACTCACGTGTTCTGGTGGGCTCGCTGAATGCAGTTGAATAGGTGCCCATTTTCATGGTCCGTGCTGTACATGGTAGGATACTGTCACAACAAAGCACATATTGATCAGATGGTCAAGAGTAGTGTTCACTGTTGAAACTTAAAATCAACCTTAAAAATAATATACTGCAAAGTATCTTCTTTCATACCCTTGATAGATGACCATTCAATTTTTGCTTAAATATTTATAGTGGCAAGGGTCTCAATTCTCATAAGCAGATCCAACATTTGTATTAAATATCCAGGAATAAGAATGTATGTCTGTGCTGTAGTTGCACAAGCGCCAGAGGCAGCTTTGTACCAAACTCAGTGCTTTTCATTGACATTAAGCATCAATGGTGGATTTCAGATGCATTACAAGGATACCGTAGGGAAATAGAGCCTTCCTAAGAGTCATCAAATACCACATCATTTTAAGATTTCCCTTAATGGAAGAACAGAAATAGAGTGTGTGAGAATCTTAATGGAAGTGTCCATTGGAAGGAAAAAAAAAAAAAAAAAAAA